AACCTAGAGCCATGTACTTGGTATACTTTTGGTATTCGAATATAAGCTTCTACTAAAGTGAGAGTTACTAATACGCACATCAGACCTGAAGCAGTTCAAGTCACACTACGTGCCATTACAAACTGAGGGCATCCTGTCACTGCCATCACCCAATATTTTTTTACCACTAGTCTCAATTTGTTAACGTGAAATTTTTGCCCATCCACTTGTTCTTCATCTAAAGCCATTTTGCGCATTTCTTGGTACTTGCATTCTATGTATCTTCTGGTAGTTAGAACGGTCAAAGCTGAAGAAAAAAAGATAACAAGTGAAATAAAGATAAAACCCTTTGCTATAATTTCTTTGCAAACTATTAGGAGAACACCATCAAAATACACTGTGATAAGGTGGACATAAACATTGCCAATGACTGTAATTATCATAATACCTAAAGCAGCTAGGTTTAGTACCATCTCATTACCGTCCATGGATCCCAAAGATGTCATAAAACTTGCCATTGCAGTTGACATCAAAACGAGGCTACTAACCCATGCAAGAATGTCAAGAGCCCCCGCCATACAACCAGTAAGATCGACTGGTAGTTTCAATGTGACAGCTAATAGTGTCAAAGACATGGCATTGAAACAGAAGTACTTACATAGGAACCACAACATTTTACTACGAAAACCATGGAAAGTGTCAGCAGCCATTGAAAGGGAGTAGACTACAAAAGCTGCTGCAATATACATGCCAATCCATGGCATTGGGGAATCCAATTTGTTTCGCAAAACTTTCATTACATCTTGGTCGCATACATCCTTGCATTCACTCTGATTGTAACATCCCATACCGCATTGAAATGAATCCATGAACTTGTCTCTGAAATTCTTTTCTATTTCTCTCCCAAGAGTTTCTCCTATCCATTCTATGGATTGCCATCTTATTGAAATGTCAAGTTGAAAGACTTCCTTTCTATGTGATATTGGCGTCTTCTGCTGCCCTAGAGGCATAGCCCAGTGGTGCAAAGGACAGGAGTGAGGTCATTTCACGCCTTGCTGACAACCGCAGTGTGGGGGTTCGATTCCTAAGACATGGAATTGGACTCCTTGTAGGCGCAATGTACAGGTAGCTCTTGTTCCCTGGCCTGCTGGGGCACATCCCACATTTACCTCCCTCACAAAACTCTAGGGGCAGGGCAGTGGGACCCTCAAGCTTGGGGTTCAACCTTTTTTTTTTCTTGATATTGACATCTTCTGCTATTGACCTTGTTTTTGAGCCAGACTCAAAGACACATGGCGCCTCCTATTGGAGGGGGGCTATAACGCTCAAAGCTTTTTTTCATTGAATTTAGACAGCGCTTTTCACATGGTCTGCTTCTTTCTGTCCTTTTACTTATTTAGTTTTGACTTTAATAAAAGGCTGGTATGTGTTTTCACTAGAGATGTCAACAAATCGAGCCAAAATTTGAAATTTGGGCTCGGCTCAAGTAAAAATGATTCAGGCATATTTTTTGTTCGAGCTGAGCTGAGCTTTCACGCAGGCAAAAAATCTAGGCTTTTTTATAAAAAAAATAAAAATAAATAAATAAAAGAATTTGTGACAATTTTAATATTTTTAAAAATTTTTGTACAATTTATACGAATTATAAATCAAATAAAAGTTGCAATTCTCCTTTTTTGAGGCTTGGGACTGGCTACAATCAAATTAAGTTGAGTTAAAATTGTACAAAAAAAATATTTCGTGTACAATTTTTCTTGAACAAATCAATTTAAGAGCTTACGATATCTTTATGCTTGGATCTGCTACTCGAACTGACGAGCCAAATTTACACCCATAGTTTCCACTAACTCAATAATGATAGTTCTTTTGATATGAAAAAATTTCAATAAATTCCTTTACAAAGACAATAATATAATTGCTATACATGGCAGTTCATTAAATGAGATTTCTGGCCAACATTCTCTTGTGCCTGATATATGGTCATTAAATGAGATTAATTGTAATAAATTTTGATGAACTATAACTTAATTAGATGTTAATTTTGTTTGTTAGGTAAAACTCAAGGTAAATTGGTGGAATTGGAAGAATGAACGAAATGGGCAATAAAAAAAGAAATTCAAAGTTCGAAATCATATTGCAAATATCTAATAACTGATTCGGACCACGAAACGATAACTGAAGTTTGTTAGGAGTCAATTTAACGCAATTGGAGGTCAAATGCGTGAAATATAGTCGAAGAATTTTCACAATATCACTTCATGGCACCCTGTAAATGAAAGGTTTCTTCGTATCGTATATCATTTAGTATTGTAAGCTGTAGTTATTGTCATTCGCGTCCCACACGTTTAAGGATTACAAAATTTCCTACTCCAACCTACCTTTGCATTGCCCCGTCACGAATAGTAAACTTGATGGGAATAGAGCATGGTCCTTCCGTTGAATTTTTCAAACTAAAGTCGAATCTTTTTACTTTATTTTTGTATTAATATATTTAAAAAGTAAAAAGTAATATTAAAAAATATTAATTAAATGAGATGGTAACTAAGGATTTTTTATTTGCTGTCCCACCTTCTGAAAGTCCTTGATGGGCCAAGAATGGTAATGGTTGTTCTATCTTCGCCCCAGGGACGGAGCCCAATTATGTACAGTGCTTTTGGACCCAGCTCCACAGGCCCAAGTAAATTTCTTTTTGTTTGTTTAAGTCACTTCCCTGTCCACTGTCCAGCCAAGAGAGAGAAGCCCAATGCCCATGACCCATTTTAGATCCATTCCCCTCAAAATTCAATTGAATCAATTGACCCGCACCTATTCATTTATTTCAACCCTTTGTGAATTGTGAGTCTGTGACTTTGTCCCTTCAGACTTCGCCACTTTCATTCATTCAATTGAATCTTTTCCCTTATTTTTTGTTATTTCGATTTGTGTAAATTGTAATAATATTTTTTTTAACATATGAAATTAGCATTTTGTTTTTTAGTATTGTCATAATATTGTTTTATTTCTTTATCATTATTAAATCCATGACCAAAACCTCGATGTCTGGTATCGAAAAAATTTTGCCCGCACTGAACCAAAATCCTAGCTCCGCCCCACCCCGTTTTTATCACTATGTACATTCCATCCAAATCTATGGACCATAGAGTTGAGTACCCCTTTATTCGAATTCCTCTTAATGTTTCGAGCCATAGATGTTCATGTATTGCTATGTATATGATCTATTGGGTTCTTAAAGAAATGTTGCTAGCAAAATTTAGTGCTATGGTAGAACAAACGTTATGACAATGTTTTTAGTTTAAGAAATTTTAAAGTCGTGTACATGTGTGTATTTTTGACACTTTATGACGTGACATTATGGTTAGTTAGCATGCTATGTGATGATTAGTTGATAGATATATTGCGATAACGCTACCAATTATCAATTTTCATCAATTTAGAGACATGACACGTGACCAAGTCATGAAAATTGAAACAAAATTGCATTTTAGTAATTTTGTTGAAACTAAATTGACGTTCAATGATCAATTGAGATAAATTAAAATTTAGTAATCTAATTAAATTTTCTTGTGAGTTTAGTGAATAAATTTACACTAAAGCATTATGTGCGTGGTATCTTTACACTTATTTTTGTCCTATATTCTACCTTATCTCTAGTTACCCAATTGATTTCTATGTTGTGCTATAGAATAAAATTGGCATTTTATAAAGGAATAAAAAAATAAAAGGAAAATGTAAAAAGAAAGAATAACATCCAAGAAGACGCTTTTCTATTAGTCGGGAGACAAAACTTAACTTATATAAAGAATTAAAATTTATCCCCTGTTTGATGGGAATTAAGATCATTTTTAGTAAATTTTGATAAAATTTTTATAATATATGCGGTTGAAAAACCATGGATCCCAAAAAATGTGTGGTTAAATTTAGTTATTGAGTTTGACATAGATTAAAATCTAAATTTTAATTCTACTGAATTAATGACAAACTAGGAACAAAAAAAGTTTCGTGACTAAAATGAAATAATGCTATAAAAATTGGCGACTGGCTATGTTTTCATTTCCAAATTTCAAACGATTAGCATTATTATATCATGACATGATTAATTATATTAGATCTCAATTATACTACTCGATCATGATTATTGACTAGCAATCTTCATCAAGTATTTCAAGCTCGTAAACTACAAAATACTTGTGTATCAACAATGCCTATTCGTGCCCTGTAACCTACATTGCATTGACATGCATTTGGCTTGAGAAGGGTGAGCTTGGACAAAACTCATTTGGAGCATTTCTAACTATTCATTGATACTTACCTTATCTACAATATTAAAGCGTAGGAATATGTGGTAAACATTTAGTTTCCCATTTTGTCCTCACATTTTTTAGTTTATAACCCCTTAACATTTAGTTTATTTCTATCAGATAATTATAATCAACATTTTCAATGAAACATTCAAATTTGATGACAAAGAATAATCTTCAATTTTTTGTGTGGTAATATAATTTGTCCTATATTTTTATAAGATTTGTGTTTATTTATTTTAATATAGTGGCAACAAATGTCATCTAAAGAAATTTATTAGTTCGGTTTATATCATATAGTTATTTTATTTTTCTTTCATCTTCTATCTTGATCATTTATATAATCTTACCAACCTATGTTCATGTCAGCAGGCCGATCCAGATATTATTTGTGTCATGTACGAAATACAAAAGAGTACTCTTTCATTTCTAAGAAGCACACACATAGGAAAAAGATACAACCATCAATTGGAAAGAAACAAGTTAGGGTCTAACTGAGACTGATAAGATTAATATTGAGTCCATGAGTGTGCTAATAATCAAGAAGTAACTTTCTTGCCTGCTTGCTTGTGTTCTCGCACTCAGCCATGAAGTACAATAGCTACACGTTCTTCGTTGGATTGTTGAGTTTCACTTCCAATACTCATTATTGAGGCCAGAAAATTCCCTTTATATTCCTCGATAAAAGTACACCACTCATCAATGTAAGCTGTTTTATCAGGATCCAAGTTTGACATCTCATGGTGCTGAAGAATTTGTAGAATATCTTCTGTTTCTCCAAGAGTAGGGCAGCTTGAGGAACACTCTTTGCCTTTTCTTTTCGGAATTATGGTGGCATTTCATAGTTATGACATGTGGTAGATTGGTAAGGGAAGCTGCTCATATATCTGCATTCACGACGAATAAATGGTTAAACAGTCCCTCATTTGTTTCATTATTGCCACTGGCCAGAGAAATAGTTCGGCTGATCCAGTACATTGAGTTAGCAGCTATAATCTTAACTGGCCAATCCAGAGGGTTATCCATTAGGAAATCGTTTACTTCTCTGACGAACTTCTTAATAGTCCTTTCAGCTTCATTGGAAAGCTCTTCTAATGCTTCCTAGGAGGTTCTGCCTTGGAGATTTGTTTTGCGGGCATCCTTATCTTGCCAATTGCAATATAAATCAACTTCTAACTTTACAACATCCGCTGCATTTCCAATGATTGCTAAAGCCACATGTTCATCGAGGCTTTTCTCTGTCAATTTTAATTGAATGATAAACTAATATAAATAAATCATCATTGGCTCGATCGTGGAAAGGTCCCAGTATGACATAGATAATGCTGTTTGTACATAGAGAAAGTGAAAAAAAAAAGAAAAAAAAAAGAAAAAAAAAAGAAAAGAAATTCAGTTATTATAATCTCTCTCTTTTATGTTAAGTCCAAATAGCATTACTCATGGAACAAAGTAGTCACCAGTTGAGTAATGGATGGTGGGACTTGTTGAGCCCCAAGACTAGCAAAGAAATCTCAAGCTTTTTCACTTGGCTCATTATTGTGTCCATCTTTGGTCCTTGGATTACAAGTGCTTCGACTTCAACCTGAGTATTGCCAGGACAAAACCCATGTTTTGTTTAGTTTGAAAGTAAGTAAATGTTATTTTAAGTAACTTTTAACTTGCCAATTTCATCAGAAAACTAAGGTCATAATCTGATAAAAGACAAAAACTCGCCTCAGGCTTAAAGGCCTTGCAACGGGATCCAAGTGATGTAGCAAGACAAGGAGAGGAAAACACACAACTCAGATTTCCAAGGACTAACAATTCGGAGAAGAGTATGAATATCACCCTTATTAGTTACATGTGTGAGTGTCCAAATCATTGCATGTTTGGAATGTGAAGACTGATCCACCATCACCATAACTCTCTTTTTCATTACCAACACACCAACGTTGTCACTGCTGCTGCTGTACATGTTGTTAAGCCCTTCCATTTGCTTCAGATTTGGTACCAACCCACCTCCAAAATCATAACCATTGAACCTGCCATTGTTCGATGCATAGAAAAGGGAGAGCAATGGATGCAGTCATGTGGACGGTGAATCACTGATGATAGAAAGCTATGATTTTCATGAGCTTTCGTGCAGGTTCAAGTCACGGGAAAGTGGGAAACTTTGGCTTATTGTGGCCCTTCGGTTATCAATGGCAATATAAACAAATCATTGACCCTTGTGTTTTATTGACCATAGTCATTTTTTAGTAGCTTAAATCAAATTTGGATAAAATATCACCTTGGAGCCTGGAAAGAATGATTGTTCGACCAAAAATGAGTCGAGTCGAGTCGACGGAAGCAGGTCAATTGGCTATAGAATAGGTTGTGATCAACTAGCATAAATCATCTTGGAGTTGACGGGAATGTAGTTTAAACTACCATGGCTAGTTGAGCAAGGTCAGGTAGCATTTATGAAAATAATGCTAAACACAAAACTTAGAAAATTGTCACCATTTTGAAATGGAATCGCCAAAGCTGGGTGAAATTATAAGTTCTTTTTTTTGAAATCTAAATAAAATTTTGTGAGTTGGTGAGTCATGCATGCTAGTCTATTGGTTAACTTAATTTGCTTTTCATTCAGTTATCGGTAGTCAAGTAAAAAGTTAAAAGGCGTAGAGTCCTGAAACACAGCCAATGGCCATGATGATGAAAATGAGTGGCTCGTGAGTTGGGCTTGGTACTTCCAAATAATTGCTCCCGTTAAATTCGCTCAGTAAATTTCTTCTGTGCATTTCTTTTTTGCCCTGATGATTTATTCAGTTTTTCGCTCCTTCATTGTTATGACATGTTAGAGACCTTCACTTTAATTTTCCCTTCATTGTTAAGACAAGTTGACTTCGTATTATTAACATAGACTCTGGTGTTGAAACTTGATCTAGTTCTAGTTTTCTACCGTGCTCTTTATGAGATAAATTTGTCCATTCCTCATACTTACAGGGACCTTTCCACAACCAAGCCAATTATGATTTATTTTATAAGTTTATTATTTAATTTTAGAAAAAAAAATACTTCAAAATTAGTTGTAACCACTTCTTAATTTTTGTAACATAAACTTTAAGGCAATTTTTAATATAAAAATTTTGAATATCTTGATCAAACCTTCAATTTTTTTGTTAAGCTTTCATAAAGTTTTTCAGTTTTGTTTAAGAATATTTTTCACGAACATTATTTTGCACACTGGTGCTATAACATTGATTTAGCAAGCGCTATGTTATATACTCAATTAAAATTTAGAATTATGTGACTCATTTTAATTGTACATCTTATTTAATGTCACTTGGTATCACTTAGACTAAGAAGAAAATTGTGGTTTAAGAGTTCTCAGCTCAACGTGCTTGAGAACATGCAAAATGGTTGAATTTATACAAGTTCCTTGTGCAGTGGAGATAATTACAGACTTTCTCTATTTTTAGCAAATCCTAACAGATTCCAATTCTAGTCTATATCAAGCATATATAAGCTAGTAATTTCCTGTAATTGCTGAACTGACTTGGAAGACAACTTGGCTCGCTTGATTGTTTTTCCATAAAAATTGATTTAATTAGGAGTGAATCTTGGTAGCTATGATTGTCTTTCCATTGCCTTAAATACTTGCTTTGCTCTTGACTGTCTTGATTGAAATTCCATTGATCTGATTAATTGTATGTGATTGGGATTCCTTTTGTGTGCACTCTGATTTATTTTCTTCCTTATCTTTCCATGAATCCTGGTAGCTTTGATTGCCTTTCCATTGCTTTAAATACTTGCTTTGCTCTCAATTGTCTTAATTGAAATTCCATTGATCTGATTAATTGTATGTGACTAGGATTCCTTTTGTGTCACTCTGATTTATTTTCTTCTTTATCTTTTTTTTTTTTTTTTTTTTTTTTTTTTTTTTACAAGGTGTCCTATTTTAGACTAATCCTTGGGTCTGTGATCCGGCCCCTCTTCACACAGTCCGGTTAATCGCAGGATGTGCCTCCAACTGGCCAGGGTCCGAGCGCTCCCCACCTGGTCTGACAAAGTGCCAAGCAAGTCAATCCAAGTTGCACCTTAAAACTGTGTAGGGTAAACTTTTTAAAGTGACTGGCCCCACCGCACTGCGGCCCCATACTCCAGAAACCCCACCTCCGGCCTGGCCCTACGGGTTAGTATACACCGCTTGGCCCTACACGTATGGAGGGATTTTTTGGAGAGGCACAGTACCACCATGCTGGTAAGAGGACTCGAACACGGAACCTCAGCCAGCAAATGCCAATGTCCTTACCACTAGAGCAAATAGACATCGGCTATTTTCTTCTTTATCTTTCCATGTTTTGCGCTTGGTAATACCCTGTCTCGAGTTGTGACAGGGTTGGAGACACAACTTGCTGCGAGGAGAGTGTAAATTGGGCTTGGGAAGAGCCTTTGTAAAGATATCTGCAATCTGATTCGCAGAAGAAACATGGCGTGTGACAAGGTGACCAAGAGCAACCCGTTCCCGAACAAAATGATAATCAAGTTCAATATGCTTGCTTCGGGCATGATAGACGGGGTTAACGGTCATGTGTAGAGCAGTCAAATTATCACAAAAAAGAATTGGTGGAGAACGAAGAAGAACTTTAAGATCACGAAGGAGGAAAGCCAAGTAAGCTCAGCTGTGGTATGAGCCAAGGACCAATATTCGGCTTCAGTACTGGATCCAGACATCGTGCTTTGTTTCTTTGCACACTAGGAGAGAAGGTTCTGACCAAGAAATGTGCAATACCCAGTGGTGGAACGTCTAGTTGTGGGACAACCTACCCAATTTGCATCAGAGAAAACAAAGAGATCAAGTGTAGACTATGAGAAAAGTTGTAATCCAAGAGAAATCATCCCTTTGACACAATGTTCGCTAAAATACTATCGCAAGTGCACGGGTCGCGTCCAAATAATAAAGTGGACTGTTTAAGTCCGGATTGTCGATTTCTCGAGAAATGTTTACTTTAAATTACACAACTTCAATCAATTTAAATCTAACAATGAAAATAAACGAACACAATAAAGAGTTGATTTTAGAAAATAAGGAAAAACATACAAACTAAGAAAATATGTAAATCTTGGAAATTTGGGAAGAAAACGTGGTTGGGATTCATGGTTTCACTTAATCGTTGCCTAATTAATTTCTCCACATGCCAATTAATGAATTACTCATTTACGATGTTAGATCCAATTTTTCAACTTTAGCTAATTACCTCTCTCGAGTGAAATTAACGCTAATTGATTGGTTTAACGTACTATATCTCTATGTCGATTACAACCAAACAACCACATTAAATTGCTGTGAAAATAGCTCATTGGGTCACCTAGGGCTAGAGGTATATCTCTATCCTCTATACAAACCTAGAGTCTCTACCATTTGATCTAAAATGCGCAATTTTCTCTCGAATGATTTACACTTCATGAAATATATTCATTCATTGATCACATAAATGAAAATGCAATAAATACAATAGTAGAAACACGTGGAAATAGGCAATTTAATATCAAATAGCAAATATTGAAAATCAATTAAACCTAGGTCAAGCTACTACCATAAATCTCAACACAAATATTTAGCCCATGTTAAATATATGATAAAAAGGAGAATATTTTATATAATACATTGCAAGTTTGACAAAATAAAGGAGAAAATACAAGGTATAAATAAAATCCCTTTTTGAGCTTGCTCTTGATTTCCCCAAAGCCTTGCCAAATCTTTAATTGAATCTCCTTGTGCTCTAGATTGTGCCTTCAAAATACCAAGGAAAGGAAAAGAAAAGAAAATGAAGAGAAAAGAAAGAAGAAAGAAAGAAAAAATGAAAGAGGAATAAGACCTAGCCCTCAAAACTTTCAATCCCCCCAAAAATGACCAAAAATCGATATTTAAATGGCCAAAATTGCGTCAAGTGAAATTGTGAAAGAAGTTCCGAAATTTACGCAAAATAGGTAAAATTCCCCTAGCCGGAAAGCGGCGCTCATTCGTCCCACGCGCGCACCATGAAACCCTTTTGGTCTTGGTAAATCAAAAAGAGTCTCCCGCGTGAGCACCTAAAATAAGTCGCGCGCTAGCTTTCTTCATTTCTTTTTTCAACTTAGTCCACCATTTAATTGCACACAAGGCCCCTCAACTTTGATCATGTACAATCTCGTCCTCAAAATTTGATTTTCATATCACTTTTGCCCTCCAAAATTGCAACGTTAGGTCCCCAACTTTCGGTACTTGTGCACTTTGGTCCTCAACTTCACATTTTTGTGCACTTTTGGTCCTTTCATTCCCTTTTGCCTTGTTCGCTTCCCTCTGGTGATTTTTGACTTACAAAAGCAAATATTACATAATTGTAAGTAGAATTTCATTCATTTTTAATCAATAAATAACATGTTTAGATATTAATTAAGTGCGTAAAAACACACTTATCACATAGCGTAGAATGCGTCAGACCATTTTTAAGTGTGAAGTGCAAGGAGCGTGCATGAATTGAGAGACGAGATTAACACTAAATGCAAGATTAGGTCGTGTGTGCGTTAAATACTGAAGTGCGCCTACAATACTACGGTAGGAGCTCGGATCAACAAGAGGAGGATCATCGACGGTACTACTGATCTTTGTTTCTAGAGGGGTGTTCATTCGTTTATAATCAGCCATATAAGTCATGTCTAAGAGTGTAAATTGATTTAGGAATTATGCGCTTGAACCTGTAGGCAACATATCATCGACGTAAAGTAACAGAACTAAAATACCACGGGACGAGTGATAAATGAACAAAGATGGATCCGCTAGACTGCAATAGAAACCAAATTGTATGATAAATGAGCTAAATTGATCAAACCATGCTCTGGGCACTTGCTTGAGTCCATACAAGGCTTTCTCGAGTTTACATACATAGGTCGGATGAGTAGGATCAGCTAGACCAGGATAGATGTCCTCTGTAATCACCCCATCTAAAAAAGCATTTTTTACATTTAATTGTCGAATTTCCCAATGGCAAACAATAGCGAGGCTAATGACAATACGAATAGATCTTGGCTTAATGACACAAGAAAATGTTTCGAAGCAGTCGATTCCATCCACTTGATGATATCCTTTTGCTATAAGTCGAGCTTGACGATGGTCAAGGGACCCATCTGGTTTTAATTTCGATTTAAACACGTACATAGAACCTATGACATGCATCTCTGGATTCCGTGGAACAAGTCTCCAGGTGTTGTTCAAGTTCTTCAAGCATTGCTTTGTGCCATCCAGGATGCTGAAGAGCGATTTTAACATTTTGTGGTTATTGTGGAATCTCATGCTGAGATACTTGAAGAGAGTAATTGGGATTTGGCTTGATGATCCCATCTTTGAGTCTCGTCACCATATGATGTCCTGTGGTAATAGCTCTTACATCTAGTAAAGGAACGAAAACATTAGATCCTTCAGTGTTACAAGTGGGTGCTAATTCAATGAGAGGATGATCATTACCAATCAATAAGGAATCTTGTTCAATAGAAGAAGTCGAAGGGAAGATGGGTAAAACACTTTGTGAATTGTCTGAGGAACCAATGTTGGCATTTTCATCTGAAATAATTCTTTCATGGTCTGGATGGTTATCAGGTGTTTCAAATGCCTCATGAATTTCATCTTTGCCATCTGATGTGGTGATGACCGAGTTCAATTTATCACCAATTGCAGCAAGTATCGAATCCTGAAATGGTAGAGAGGAATCATCAGTCCTAGTTGTATCAATCCAATCATTAAATTCTGTAATAATAAAAGAACCAATAAAAGTATGTTTTTCTGCTGATTTATAAGGAAATGACTCTTCTAAGAAGGCAACATGGCGAGGGATGAAAAATCATCAACCAGGAGGATGATAACATCAATAGCCTTTATAGTTGTCGTTGAAACCTACAAAGACACAAGGGAGCGTTTTAGGATCAAACTTATTCCTTTTAGTGTCCCAAGTATAGGGAAAACAAGTGAGCCAAAAACTCATAAGCATGAATAATCCGGTTGTCTATTGAGGATATTATGGTAAGAGTATCAAATTCAATAGCCGAAGATGGCAGTCTATTTATTAAAAAGACTACAGTTTGGAATACCTCTACCCAAAAATGCTTGGGAAGCCCACTGTGAAACAACATAGTCTCCCAATTTCCCTTATGATGTGATGGCGACGTTCAATAGATCTAGTTTACTGTGGAGTATATGGGCAAGAAAGCTGATGGATTATTCCTTTATGCTTGAAGTGTCCAATCAATGTGGAATTAAGGAACTCACCTTCTTCGTCCGAATGAAAGATTTTGATTTTTTTTGTAAAATTTTCTGTGCACATAGCATTCAAAGGCCCAAGTATGCAGAGGTGAAATCAAATTTGAGGTGTAAAGGGATAAACCAACAGTATTTGGATAAATCATCAACAATACAAGTATAATACTGAAAATTTACAATAGAAGGAAGAGGTGCAGGACCCCATAAATCGCAATGAATTTTTTCAAACGGCTCAGAACTAACATATTAAGACTGTAAAAATAGAAATTTGCTTAATTTTCCTAGTTGACAACTCTCACATTGAGAAGTTTTTTTAATTTACGCTAGTGCTTTTATTTAAACCCCTGGATTTTAGAAAGTTAATAGTTGAAATGTGTGGATGCCCAAGCCTTTTATGCCAAACTTCGTCCGTGGCATTAGCGAACCTATTTGAGAAATGAGCTTCATGATGAGGTGATAAAACGTACAAATCACCCTTGCGATGTCTTGTCATTAGTATTCGCCCTATCTCTCGTTCCTTGACACAAAAATTTGCATTAGAAAATTCACAATAACAAGGGAATTGATCAGTGTTGACTGACTGATAATAGATTACGAGCCAAAGATGGAATTAAGAGAACATCGAGCAACATTAATTTTTCTTTACCATTTTTGATCAGTGTATTACCGCCTTTAATGGAGAGAGCATCCCCATTACCAATGAGAACTGAATTTGTTCCCAGATATGAGCGTAAATTGAACAAAAGTTTGGAATTACCCATAATGTGATTTGAAGCACCCGTATCAGTTGTACATTCGGTATCTTGTATTGAAGTATCAAGTGTGAGGACAACAAGAGCATGAGGAATTTCTTTTGGATGAAAATGTTTATCCTTGTACCAACAGATGGATGCAATATGTCCAAGTTTGTCATAGATCTGGCACTTTTCTTTATGGTAACGTTCACGTTCTACCGGCATCATTTGACGAAAATGAGTCCCTTCAATGTTAACAGATTTGTGTTTTTCATTCTGACCTCCAGTGAAATTTGTATTTGCGGGTTGGAAGCCACGGCCTTGGGAGGTGAATTCATATCCAGATGAACGATTGCTACTGCCTTTATGACCCGAAAAATGATCGTTGTTACCTTGTTGGTTCCTTTGTCGTTGACCGTAGAATGCAAGATGTTGTGGTTCATGCCATCGAACACGTTGTTCATACCCTTGGGATACTACCTCTGTGTATCCAGGCATGGGTGGTTTCAGCATTGTGGTGGTGAAGGTCTCATAACGAGGACCTGGACTTGTAAGGAGAGAGTAGACCTTCTCTTGGTCTTGCACTGGACGACCAATAGTTGCAAGACTATCGCACAATTTTTTAAATTGACGGAGATGCTCCGGTAAAGGAGTTGTAATATCTTTCTTGAGATACGTAAGTTGTTGATGTAGAATGAATTCTCTTTCTTGGGAATCTTGGGCATAGGCTTCTTAAAGTCCACCCCAAACTTGATGAGTAGTTTGAAGTCCAACAACCAGTCCGAGGGCTTCCTCTGTCAGGGTGCCAATGATCCACCCCCGAAGTAGCCGATCTAACTTTCTCCATTTGAGGTAGCTAGTCTTCACTGAGTATAGGTTTGTGTGTTTTTGCGGTTTCTGGAGTATACATGGTTGGGGCGTTCTAATCTCCACTGAGATGATTGTGTAAATCTTAGCTTTCGGCTAGTGAGATGATTTGCTCACGCCACAGTGGGTAATTTTCTGGGTTAAGTTTGAGGTTGACAAAGTAGCTGACATTGAGAGAGATAGTGGCCATGGTAACAGAATTCCTACTCTGATAACAAGAAAAAAATTGTGGTTTAAGAGTTCTCAGCTCAACGTGCTTATGAACATGCAAAATGGTTGAATTTATACAAGTTCCTTGTGCAGTGGAGATAATTACAAACTTTCTCTATTTTTAGCAAATCCTAACAGATTTCAATTCTAGTCTATATCATACATACATAAGCTAGTAATTCCCTGTAATTACTGAACTGACTTGGAAGACAACTTGGCTCGCTTGATTGTTTTTCCATAAAAATTGCTTTAATTAGGAGTGAATCTTGGTAGCTTTGATTGCCTTTCCATTGTCTTAAATACTTGCTTTGCTCTCGACTGTCTTGACTGAAATTCTATTGATCTGATTAATTGTATGTGACTGGGATTCCTTTTGTGTGCACTCTGATTTATTTTCTTCCTTGTCTTTCCATGTTTTGCACCTGCTAATAGACTAACGTTGACTTGGTACACGGTCTTGCGTGTTGAAACTTTACCTATTTATAGTTTTCTACCAGGCTCTTTACAGGACTAATTATTCCATTCCTGATAACTTAATGGGACCATTGACATTCAAGCCAACGACACCAATACCGTCTACCATTTTGAAAACAGCAAGTTACAAATGTACTTTTAATAATTATTAGTATTATAATTTTATAAATTTAGTATTTAATTTTAGGAAAGTTATTTATCAGATTGTAACCATTTCATAATTTTTGTAATATAAATTTTAAATTAATCTTTAGTATAATTTTATTTTTTTTTAAAATATTTTGATCAAAATTTTTTGTTAAGCATTCTTAAAATCTTTCAATTCTGTTCCAAAAATGTTTCCTGAGGTTCTCAAAAAGTTCTAAATAGTCGAGTACTCAAAGAACAGCCCAAGTCTTCTAACGTTTCAGGAAAAGGGTTAATCTCATTATGCTAGCTAATACTTTCACAGGGATCTCAATTAAGCCACGTAACTTTAATTTGTCTAAATCAGATCACTAAACATTAATTTAATTGAAATTTTAGTCACTCCATTCATCCTCTTGCGAGACTTAACATTCCAATCCTGCATGAATGTTGATTCGACGTGTCTTACAAGTCTTACAACTTGAAAAAAAATGTTACTTAATCTAGTGTGGTTGTAAAAATTGAAAATAAATCGGCATCTTCCAAATCATATTCAAGTGGCATATACCTTCAAATTTTGCAACCATGACTTGACTTGGCAGTGTATTTCCTAAAAATTAAAGATACCATCTCATTGCATCAATATGTAATGTCTATGTGAGATGTGATTGCACCAAATTAAAATTGCATGGTCCAATTGAGATTTCCAAAATAAAATTGATTTTGCTCAAGAAGACTAAGAAAGAAACAATAAGTCGTCATGAAACATCCGAGAAATGGATGCAGAAGAAAACAAAGAAAAATTGAGAGAAAAATATAGCAATATCACAGTTAAAAATCATACAGTCGCCTTCCGATATAGGAGTATCAATAATGTTTCAATTTCACAGTTACAAATATTATAAAATCTTTATAGTATACAACTCTTGTGACAGAGTAAGAAGACAAATAATTTTTTTAATACAAAATGTACAATTTGCTGAACACATTTCATTTGTCTCAAAGATTGAAGACAACCATTTCAAAATGGTCTTAATACACTGATTCTCATGTTTAGACAGTATAATGTCATCAACATCAAAATTAGAATTACAACCTACCTTAGACCTTTGCATAGATACATAGCGGGACTTCTTCCTCGTTTTATAGTTATAACTTACATAATGAATTTGTCAAAGGGGCTTTTTTTCAGTCCTATTTTTCCAATCTCCATCTACATGACGAAATTTTATACTAGATTTAAATCCTGTTAAAACTCAAGTACTATTGTCAAGATGGCTGCATTAGGCTACAAGTGTAACTATAAAATTCTCACAATACTTAAAGGCCTTTAATATGAAATCTACAAGTTGATTCATGTGGATCTCTTTAATCAATTCTCAATTGAGAATAAAAATACAGTCTCTAGGTTTATTTGATGTAACTCTAAAATTTAAACATACTATCACGACTAGCATCGGCCGTACAAAAGTAAATCCTACTTGTAGGAACAAAGTTTATTTAACTCAATAAATTCATAATGAGTATAACATTTATTTACTTTTTCCAAAAATGAGCTTTATCGATCATAAACTCACTAGTCTTCTATTTAATTTTTAAGAACTTAAATGTTTTCAATGAGCATAATGTCCAATTAGAACTTCTACCATATCTCAAATTAGATTGAAATTTTGTACTCCATATATACTTCCTTCACTTTCTTTAAATTTCTCTACTGGTTTTCTGAACCAAAGAATAAAAAAATAAAAATAATAAAAAATTATTGAAATTAAAAAGCTCTTAGCTCCCACTTGAAAGCAGATTACTCACACTTGAATCAAAAGTTTAAACCAACTCTTATGTATTTAAAATTGGTTCATCAATACACATAATATCAATTTCAATAATATTCTCAAAATTTTCTCCCTAACTAGGAAACAATATCAAATATCACATCTTGTGACCGAATATCTATCCAAAATCTCAATTAAGTATCTTTTTAGACTATTATGTATATCTCAGAGATACATCTCGCTCTTAATAGACTCATGTTTTCAAACTCTGTATCAAGAACTTATATAGTAAATTTATGAGTCTAAGATAACTAAGATTTGATTATCTATGTGTCCAAAACTTATATTCCGAAAGTATAACATAGAGAAAGTTCCATTAAGTAACAGGTTGTACTTAACCAACAATATTTCCAAAAATAAATAAGAATAGGACTGCATTATTTCAAGCTCATATATTCAGCAATACACTCCTTTTTCCCAAGACACCATATAGTTCTTCATGAACAAGTTAGTGAAGAAGGTATAGTCAATCTAATAAGAATTTTTTTTTTTCATTACAGAGATCATTGAACTCTCATGATAGGGACTCACGTTCTCAAATAGTTTTCAAAATCTTCACTTCCATAATCTAAAATTCTACTCGACTTTCAAAAAATCTGAATCAATACAATAGCTTCAGCTTATGAAAACCAGAGACACAATTGAAATACATGAATCCATTTGTAAATGTAATGAAAATATGAAGTTCTATATCTATCTCTTTTAATCATAGCCTGCAAAGAAATTCGAATGGATTTACTCTATGAAAGTTTAACTCTTACAAATATGAAAAAGTTTGGAATTTGCGTGTAATATTATTTTATTGAAGAATGTGTGGTTGAAAATAAGAGAGAAAATATGTATTTTGAAAATAATTGGAACCAAACAAGGGCAAAAAATTAAATAAATAATTTTATGTTCATTTTCACGTATATATTCCCTAGTATTAATTCTAAATTATTTATTTTATTGAAGAATATGTGGTTGAAAATAAGAAAGAAAAATGTATTTTGAAAATAATTGGAACCAAACAAGGGCAAGAAATTAAATAAATAATTTTACATTCATTATTTTCATGTATATATTCCCTAGTATTAATTCTAAATTATTTAACATTCATGCATATTCAAATATTATTTTTACCGCACTAATAAGGCATTTCATAATAATATGCAATGTTGACTAGTTACCTAAAAACGAAAGATACATCAAATTGCCATCAATATTTAATGTCTACGAGAGATGTGATTGCACCAAATTAAAGTTCGATGGACCAATTAAGATTTCAAATATAAAATAATCCTGCTCAAGAAGACAGAGAAAGAAACTCTTAAGTTTCCCTGAGCCATCCGAGAAATAAGATGCAGAAGAGAAAAAAATAAAAATAATAATAAAAAAAAGGAGGAAGAAGAAGAAAAATTGAGGTAGCAAGATTTAAGTCTTCCCCAATGCAAAGTTTTTTTTCTACCGTTGGAATTAATTATTTAATGATCTTAATACATGTGAATAGGACTAAGTTCCTATTGGGTGTGATCACTAGACACAACTTTTTAAATGCAACATGTGCATATTGAGAAGTTGTTGCTGTTATTATTATTATTATTATTTTAATTAGATGTGACTATTCAAGTGCAAGAATTGCATAATCAAAAGTCATGAAACTTTGTGTAGGATGCGATCTATCCATCACAACATGGTATGATCTAATGGTCCAAATGTTTTTGTATCAAAAGATGCAATCGTTTCAAATAGACACATTGAAATCCAAGAATTAGATCTCTTAATTTTATTTTCTACCCTCCAAATTAATCTCAAAATAATTTATTTCTATACTCCTCTCTCCAAATTTCTAAAGAGAAAATTTCAAATTATTTTTAAGTTTTAATGTTTGATATTTTAGTATTTGATATCCTTCAATATAGAAGAGTACGTTAAAGTTTTTGTTCATCAAACAATGTTAGTATTATATTTTATTAATTTTGGAAGAAGTGTTGTATCTTGGGATATAGACATGTGTGTTAGATTTTGTTAACAATAGTGCAACGGTCAAATGTACCTTAAGAAGATTTGCATTCAGCATACCTCATTTCATTTTGTCTCTTCATAAATTATCATCCTTCTACATTTTTAGTAAATGAAAATTCTATTCAATTTCATTTTGCCAAAAAAATTGGATGCACATTTTAGCGTCCGAATATAATTTTTGCACCGTGTTTTCCTAACAAAGGAAATAGACAATTTCACCAAAACATAACTATAATGGACTCTGGGTCAGTGACAATAAATCATGAAAGAGATGCAGAGAAGAAGACATTGCATCAGAACAAATTTTTCTACTTAGAATTAAGTTAAGATAATGTGTGGTTCATGACTTTAGAAGGTCAAATTATTCCTCATTTTTGAGAAAGTGCAAAATAAAACTAACTATTGCTCATTTCATCTCTTGAAAGTAGTAAAAAAAAGGTTCCATTATCAAGTTTACAAAAAATATAAGATCTTTCATAATATTGATAACTGGGATATTTTACATGAATCAAGCCATTTTAATCTAAACTTTTTCATTATTATTCCATATTTTCTTTCCACGGTTCAACTTAGTATTTTTATAAATAGAAATAATAAGGTTTTCATCATTATTCCATAACAATGTTTCTATATTAAAAAGTTAAAAAAAGTCTGTATTTTGTGTGTTTTAACACTTTTATGATGTGCTATTGTGTTAAGTTCACATGTTATGTGATGATTACGTGAAAAAATTATTGGGATGTGACTACCAATTAGCAATATCATCATTTTCCAAGTCATAAAATTTGAAACAAAATTGAACTTTAGTTATTTAGTTGAATTTAAATTAAAGTTCACTGATTCAATTGAGACAAATAAAAATTCAATAATCAATTTAGTGAGTATCGCTGATGAAATTTATTGTGGATACCATGTGCAGGGTCTCGTACACTATTATTTTGTCCTATATTCTACTTTATCCCCAATTACCTAATTGATTTCAATCTAGCTGCATGTGCACAAAGTTACATTAAGTTTGACATTTTTGTGAGGTCACTTTTTTTAGACAT